GGATGGGAAATTGGTGCTCTCAGATTTATCTGTTTGAAAGATTTGACAATCGAAAAAGAAAATATTTCTCCATATCATGGAAGTTGGTGAAAGAATTAGAACTACACATTATTTTCTGACGCTTCTCTTAAAGCTTTCGGAGAGCAGTTGCGTACTTCCATTACGTGTCAAGTCAAGATGATTGTATTTATACAAGTTTTATCACTGCGAAATCTAGAATCGCACCGCTTAAAAGGTTGACATTAGCGAAGGCTTGAACTTATGGGAGCCTGCTATTGCTTCTAGACTTTTCCAATATTTGAAAACAAATTTTAAAATTTCCTGTGCCTAGGGTATATATGTGGACAGATTCCTTAATCGCTCTTCATTGGATTAAAGGGAAAGCTTCAAAATGGAAACCTTTTGTATCGAACCATGTATCCGAAATCCAGTTTAGAACTGATCCTGCTGATTAGAATCAGTGTAGTGGGCAGGATAATCCTGCAGATTTCATATCTCGAGGAGCTACTGTGGAAAAGTTTATGTCCAGTTCGATTTGGATGCAAGGTCCAGAATGGTTTCGTTTGAAGAAAAGGGATTGGCCAAAAGGCTCTAATTATGAAATTTGTCCAGAGATTTCTCCAGAAGTATATTGCGAAAAAAGAAGTAAACTGGAAGAAGTATCGTCTTTTGTGTGCGAAGCGCAATCAAATTTGACACATTTAATGGATTTGAATAGATATAGTAGTTTAAGAAAATTATACCGTGTTACAAGTTGGATACTACGATTTATACACAACCTTTAAATTTAAAACTAAACGATGTGGTGAACTTAACGCACTGAAGAACTAAACGAGGCTGAAATTATCTGGACAAAAACTGTTTCAAAGTGAAGCTTTTGCGGAAGAGCTGTCCTCTTTGAGACAGGGTAAAACAATTTCTAAGGACATCCTCTATTCTAGAACTGTAAATCCCTTTCTTTAATAATGACGGGATAATGCATGGTTGGTGGAAGACTTCAGAAGTCAAGGACTTTCTTACCTTTCAAAGACACCCAATTATTATGCCCTCAAAACATCACTTTGTGAATTTATTAGTGTGGGATGCACACAGCAAAGTATTTCAAGGTGGAATTTCTGAAACTTTGATAGAAATACGTGAAAGATACTGGATAATTAAGGAAAGACAAACTGTTAAAAATATCTTAAGAAAATGTATTCTGTGTAAATGATTTAATTTTTCTCCTGGTATGCAAGTTACTGCTCCTTTACCAGTAAATAGAACAGAAGAATTACCTCCTTTTTCTGTAGTAGGTATAGATTTCAGTGGACCACTTTATACCAAAGACAGTGATGAGAAAAACTACATCGTGTTGTTTACTTGTGGAGTAATGCGAGCTCTTCATTTAGTTTGTTGGTAGCATGACCACAGAAACATTTCTTCTTGCTTTTCGACGATTCATTGCTCGTCGAGGTCCATGTTCTCAAGTTTTGACGGACAATGCCAAAACTTTCAAACGATCAGAACTTGAACTTAAAAATTTGTGGACTGTATTAGTCATCCAACAGTAAAAGACTTTTACGCCTCCCACAAAATCCAATGGTGCTACATCGCTGAGAAAGCTGCGTGGCGTGGTGAAAGACTAATTAAATCTGTAAAACTTGCTTTATGAAAAAACTCTAAGAAAAACCACTTTATCTCGAGAAGAGTTAGAAACTCTAATTATTGAAATTGAAGGTGTTCTTAACTCTTGTCCTTTAACTTATGCTTATTCTGAATTACAGGAACCTATGCCTCTAACTCCAGCTCATATGCTATTGGGGCACAGGGGTGAATAGTTTGCCTCCTGCCAGGGCTTCATTTTGATTCTAATTTAGTTAATAGGAAAATGCTAATTAAAAGATTTAATTATAGAGAAAGATTGGTAAGTATGTTTTGGAAAAAAATGGAAAAATGAATACTTATTAATGCTGAGATCTGTTCATTGTGTTAAACCTTCAGGTAAAATTACTGAATTTAAAGTTAATGATATTGTATTAATTCATGATGAAAAGCTACCTAGACATTTTTGGAAATTAGGAAGAGTTGTAACAGTATTTCCTGGCAGAGATGGAAAAGTAAGGTCTTGTGAAATTAAAACAGGTACGTCAGTTATTAAAAGACCTGTGCAGCTTTTATATAATCTTGAAATAAATGAACAAGTTTAATTGTTTATTATATGTTTATTAATACGAATAAGTTTAATTGTTTATTATATGTTTATTAATTTGTATTATTGTTACAGGACTATTCCATATATGTGATGAAAGTTTAATTGTATGTACAGGTATTGAGTTGCCAGCTTATTATCTTTATTATACTTTATTGCAGGTAACTTTACAAATTGTTTAAAGATGAATGATTTGTTTATATAGTAAATAAGTGTAGTTTCATTAATATGTGAATTGATTGAACTTTACATTGTAAAAGTTTCCTTTGTTAAATTTGTACTAATGTAAATGTTTGAATGAACCCCTGGTCATTCGGGGGCAGACTGTAGAAACTACAATGCACCAGATGGTGCTGTCTGCGCTTGAATTCTTCGGACTAGTGCAGAACCTTGTAGATTGCAAAAGATGTAACACCAACGCGAAACATTAACCAAAGTTTATATGTGCTTCTCTTTGTTGTAAATGTATTTAATTGTGTCGTCAATAAAATATGCAGAAATGATAAAAGGCGAGAATGCCTCTGACAGGTAAGTGAGATTTCTTTATATTTTGATTTGAATTGAGTTTTAGTGACAAAGAATGTATATGTGTATTTACAGATGATAGCCACTAATTTTGAAGGTTTTCAGATATTGCAAAATAGAGGTGAAATTTTCCAATTAACAGATTTTGTAAAGAAATGTGGAGAAGTGGTAATAAATGAAGATGATATAAAAAGTTTTTCATTGTGATGACTATCCTTCTCAATCATCAATCAATCAAAGAATGGTGAAAAGTGTAGTGCCGACAGTGAAGAAAGTGACAGAGAAGTTACTGAAAATGAGAAAATTTCGATTGACAAGTTAGTTGAAATTCTCCCAACCGCAGTTACAGGACTTCAACAATGTAACTAAAGAAGAGATTATGTCTGTCTACAGAATTAAAGAGAAAGTATTAGCATAAAAAACGACGCAACTTAAACAACTTGCATTGAAAGAAATGTTTAATAAGGTAAACAAATAAATATTAAGCTTTTTTTTTCTTGTAAATTCTAATACCCTTTAGACAATAAATACTTCATTATTTCATAAATCTCGATTTCATATTTTTAATTTTATAAGTTCTACGTGCCATTTTACCAGATTTAAATTGATGATCTAATATCCGGAAAAATCCCAAATCTGGAATCGCCGAAGTCCCGGTTGGTCCTGATTTCGGACTTTGTACTGTATATAAAACAGGAAACTATTTTGAAAGTAACCAGGAAAAATAACTAATGAATACTACATTTTTCAAACAAGGAAACTTTTCCGAAGAGGCTGCACATAAACATTTCCCTTACTCCATTTCTGCTTTTATAAGAAGAGAGAGAGGAGGGCAAAAAAAGAAAAGAAAAGTACTAAATAAATACTAAATTAACTAAAAATTACAATTTACAACTAATTAGTAATAACACATATTTAATTTAAATTACAGATGAGTTGCAATATTAACAAAAAATATCACAGTTTGAAAAAGTCGAATGTACACTGTGCAAAACAAAAAAAAAGGGACAATTGACGAAATTCAACTTCTGTTTTTCATGTCTTGAAAGCATGACTTAGGATATGTATAGCATTTATATATAGCATTGTTCTAATATAGGTATTTTTTGACATAAAAATTTGAATTTGACTTTTTTGAAATGGCATGCCAATTTTTTTTTTCCATATTTCGATTCTACCACTCTAATTATGTAAAACTGCAAAGTTTTATAAAAAATCACATGAGTAGTTTTTAAAAATTAGCTCCCAAAATTTTAGCTCCTCAATGTTAACTGAATTTGGTATATATTTATTGATATCTCTTTTTTTTATTAAACTTATTTGATTCTTCCTTTCACATTTCGAAATTTAGGTTCATTCCAAATAAAATTCGTGTATTTTTTTACGATTTATTTTTTAAATTCGTATTTTTAAATAAATTTTTATAAATTTTTTTAAACAAAATTTGAATTGTAACCTATAAAAGTTTTAACATGATTTTAAAGTAGATGTATTTCTAGGCACACCTCCAAAAAATTACGAGTTTTTTATTCAAAATTTTCTACGATATACATGAATTTACATACTGGAGTGTTTTGAAATTTGGCATATTTGTTATAAGCGATAACAACATGAAAGTGAAAATCAAAACCAGATTAAACAAACAATGCTTTCATTCAGCGCTATAAATTCAGGACTAAAAAGGAATTCTTAGATTAATAAATGTGGCTTATACACTTCGTTAAAATTATTTGAAAGTATGAATGCTGACTTTTTTCCACTTGTGTACAATGAAAAAAAGGAAAGGAAAATAGGTTGCTATAAATTAAGAAGTTCACTAAGTGAATTATTTTTGGTGCAAACTGGGGGGGGGGGGAACCTGCCAAGATAAATTTTTGAATTTCTCCGTAAATTTTGCACCAAATTTTACAAAATTTAATATTTAAGCATAATTTGAGTCATAGAATCAAAATATCGAAAAAAAAATTGGCATGCCATTTCAGAAAATGTTCGATTTTGTGTCAAGATACCTATGTTAGAACAATACTATACAGAAATCTAATATATATCCTAAGTCGTGCTTTCGAGACATGAAAAATGCAATTTGAATTTCATCAATCGACCCAGTAGAATGGGAGATATTGAACTATCCCTTCCCCCCTTTTTTTTGCAGAGTGTACCTTTATTTTTGATTGAAAGTGATCAACTCAAGATTAATTTCTTAAAAAACACTCCGCAAAATCTAAGAAATACCAGAAGCATCTTTCTTAACAGTAAAATAATAATAATAATTAAAAAAAATCCTTACAATTCATTCCATACGTGATCACCGCGATGAAAAATTGCAACATTTCCATTATGATCAAGAGTAACAGCAGCAATCTGTCCAAATTTTAAATCTTTTGAAGGCCACCCATAAACTTCTTTGTACACTATAAAGATTATTCAATAAAAATGTTTGTTTTTGATTTTATGTTAGGCAACAAATTCAAATATGATTAAGATAAACACACTTTTTTACTGATATGTAAATTAATATCCAGATACTAATAACTATATATATACTGCAGAACAATTAAATCAATAAACTCTCTTCAATATGGCTTACTGGATAAATAAAAATTAAATTTGTAACTGAGAAATTTGTATTTGCTTTACATTCTCCAACAAGGGTATATTTAACATGCATAACTGAGCCAAAAACTTTTGTTCAAATAAATGTAATAAGAAAGACTTAATACAGTACAAGAAATTCTGTCAAATTTTATTATTTGCATGTTATGATCATAAGAAAGACTTGTATAGTATAAGAAGTTCTGAAAAATGTTGTTATTTGCATATTACAGTCATCAATATTTTTGCAGATTTCTTTTTCTTAGACAAAAACAGTTTAAGAATATTAAATATTCCCAGTAATATAAAATACTACGTTTCATTTAAAATACAGTCAAATACCGAAAATCCGCCGACCTGAAATCCGTGTTGCCTCTCAAATATAAACATTTAGTTTATGTTTTGTTTAGTTATGTTTGTTAGTTTTGTTTACACGAGATTGTTTAGTGATTTTTTTTTATCCGCATATTTTGTAGATAAATTAAGAATATTTTAAATTTCAGTGCTTTTTAATACAATGACAGATAAGAAACGCACTTGTGATTTTACTGCTAGCAACACACACACACACACACAAAATAAGTAAACACATTTCATTGACGGTAATGAAAAAAGTGGAAATTCTGCTACAGATGGAGGCAGGTGCTACTTCTCGATTTACAGCAGAATCGTATGGAATTGCCCCACGGACTGTGTATCATATACGAAACAATAAAGAAAAGCTGTTGAAATTTTACAGCAACAGTGATTCTAACACCGGAATTCGATACCGGAAATCTTTACATGAGGCGAAATCAGCAAACCTCGATGCTGTCTTGTACGAGTGGTTCCATCAGAGGCAGAATGATGGGGTACCTATTTCAGGACTGTTCCTGAGAGAAAAAGGGAAACAGATTCATGCTAATTTAAAAATAGAGGAGCCTAATGTAAATGAACAATATAATATAATCAGTTTATATATGTAATAATAATTTAATGCATATAATTAATTATTGTATTAATGTATATAATAATTTAATTAAATGCATCTAATATGCCTTATTTATTTTGCACTTTTAGTCTGAATATTATCTTTTCTATCCTGAAATCCGAAAAAATCCTAAAATCTGCATAACCTCTGGTCCCAAGCGTTGTGTATTTCTGGGCTTCTACTGCAATAATAATTCATGGAATACATATATAATATATATATATATATATATATATATATTTCCCCTGAAATAATTTGAATAAGAGGTATTAACTTAAACGTAACAGTCAAGGTCCCGAGAATGACCTCAGTAAAGCTACCTAAAACAAGTTCACAGTACATAAAATTCGCAAAGGAACAATCTTGTGTTTGGCATAGTCAAGAACTCAATTGATTTCAAGGGCAAACAAGTACAGGTCTCTCTTCATCATGAGTAAAAAATTTGCAAGACTTGCTTCTAATGAAGAGGGACCTGTACCTGTCTGCCCTTCAGCGACTGAGTTCTTGAATAAATTTATGTCAGATATAAGGCTGCTGCTTTGCTAATTTTATGTTTCACTTTGACATGTTTCTCCTCTCTTTTGAAGTTTACAGCAATTTTTAAAGTGTAAACTGATGTTCTTAATGGTAATATTTCTTTATATTATTTTAAATTTAAACATAAACCAAATCCATTTAATATCATATTACAATAAATTAAGTACACAGTTCCAAAAGCCCATTTAGAAAAATGATTTAATAAAGATGTGAAATTGATAATTTTTTATAACTTTATTTGCAAGGCTGAACTTAAGCTATTATAACTATGAAGCAAAATTATTGGTCCGTAAGTATTTAAAAAATATTATTTAATGATTATTATTAATGATTGATGTTGCTTCAAAGATTCATTAAGCAAAAACTGCATTTATGATGATTTTTGACAGTGAACTTCAATGCGTTACAACCACATAATATTTCACATTATTTATAATTCATAAACTAGATAAACTCTAGAGTATTTTATGGGAAAAATATACTTTGATTTTTTTAAAATATCAATCAATAATAAATTCTCTCTCTATATAAAAAGATGAATTGGAAGCGAAATATTTGAAAGTGCTTCATTTATCTATTTCATAAGTGTTCTTAAATAATATGAAACAAACTTTTATAATTCATCTGAAAGAATCAATTCTAACATACTTTTTGTGTCTCCCTATATTGCATTCATAAACTTTTACACAAGTACAGCAAACTGCCAATTTAAATAAATCAGGAGCAACTATCATCTTGAATTTGCACCCACATACATCAGACTGCCAACACAAATATGAATTACTTTCAGACATCCAGAAACAGATAATGAAAGCAAATGAAAACTAAGCCCTTGCTTTTAAATATTCACAAGTAGCTAACACATAGAAGAGATTTATACTGTCACAGACATAGGTCACTCATCTTCAAATGATAAAAGACAATAAGATACATACTTGTTTTTTGTTAATTCTATACAATACATATATACTTGGTTTTTCCACTTACTATATTCGTTATTTAGTTGTCCATTAGCACTAATCTTTGGTCCATAATGTGTGCTTGTATCACTCAATGAAAATCCTGCATTAAAAGATGGTGAAGAAAATCCATCCTTTTCAATGTTCTTATAAGTTATTGCTGTGTGATGATGAACACCTCCAAAAGCCTGCTGCTCCATCTCTGGATTTCTTGGCAATGGAATATCATTGCCTGGAGGCAAATCCTGGACTAATTCTCTAAACTGAACGCCTACACAAGGTGGAGACTGTCCTGAGAGTGCATTTCTATATTCAGTATAGTACATAAGATACAGATTGCACATTTCATCAGTTGAAGAAGAGCTGTAATAAAAGGAAATAAAATTAATGATACATCACACCAACTGGGAAAAAAAAAAAAAAAAAACACTATACCACACCTTACTATAAAAACATACAAATCATATGCAGAATTATTAGGTAAACACAGAAAAACATAATGTGCTCTTCAATGATGTTAATATCAGGTTTATTGTAAAACTGTTACAACCAAAAAACGTGTTAAATAAAACACATGATTTGGAACAGAAAGGAAGTACTAATTTTCTTTTATAAAGATAAATGGATGTAATTCAGAATGTTTTAATGAAGAAAAGTGCCAAAGAAAATAAATTAAACAAGCAAATTTCAATCTAAAAGATTTAAGATTTTAGTCAACCACCCTAAAAATTTCTCATTAAAATTTTAAAAAACATATAATACCAATTCTGAGATCCAGACTGTTTGAGATTTCGGCAATTCGGAATTTTGAAATTTTCCACACTTTTAGATCATCAATTTAAATGTGGAAATTATGAAATGTAAATGAAATGTAGAAATTATAAAATTAAAAATAGGAAATAGTCGTTTATGAAACATTGGAGCATTCTGATCTTAAAGGAATCAAAACTTACATAAAAAGTTTTTTATTTATTTGTTTGCTTTATTATATATTTCTTACAATGTAAATTGTTTTGATTTACTTCACATAATTTTTTGTTCAGTTATAAATTCCATAGCTCAAGTTCTATAATTACCGAGTTGAGAATTCCACTAAACTACCAACCAAAATTTTTTCTTTCTCAGCAACCTCTTTGTCACTGTCTTTACTATTGATAGTGACATTTTCTGTGTTTAGAACCATATTACATATTTTGATTAGTTTCTCATTCTAGCATAGCTTAATGTTCAACTAGCATCTGCTATACACTACTGACAATGTATCATGAGACTATCAACTACAGAAATAATGTTCTGCTATAAGTTATTCAGTAGGTAAAAATTAGTGATGAACTTTGGCAGAATGTTTTGGATGTACGCCAAGCAAAAAAGTGGCTACACAGCCATCAAATTATCAATCATACAGATTCAAGCTAAAAAATAATATACTACAGAGACTTGAATGGGTTGGTCATCTGGCAGAATGCATGAAGATCAGTGTTATAAGAAAATCTTTCTGACAAAGCCCATGGAAACCAGACCTTGGGGTAGACCCCTAGTGAGATGGATCGACTGTGTTGAAATGACCTAAGGATTCTACAGGTAAAAAATTGGGAAATAGTTGTCAGAAGTATAGATGCTTAGAGAAGCCTTCTGGAGAAGATTAGGGTCTACCCTGGGGCTGTTAAACCACCAAAGAGGAAGAGAAAAAAAATTGTGTTTTTTCAAAATGAAGGTGTTTTATTTAGTGCTAAACTCAAAATTAAAAATCAGGACCTCTCACATACGTTATTATTGAAAAAATGCCTACTGTGCATGTTTGAAGTATTAAGCATATACTTAACGAGCCACTACTTTTGGAATCTTTCTCCCTTTCTAGTTAGACTATGTACAGCATAAAATATTTTAAAATCATCAATATCTTCCATCTACTTTGTTCTCTCTTAACCTTGGTACGCAGAGAACTTCACCAGGAAAAAAACATACAGCAGAATGGCATTTGGTTTCTAGATCCTATTCACAGAACTAAGTTTCATCACTAAATAATAGTGTGATGAACAATATAATTCGTGAATGAATTTGAAATGTAATTTTAGGAAGAAAGCTTTTGAGCATCTTTTACCAAATCTCAGAAGTATTTTTTACACCAGTAGCCTTCAACCTTCTTGACAGACCATTGGATGATGAAGGATTCTATTCTTGCAAAGCTTTCTGACATTAAGTTGTAAATGAAAAATATTTATAATGGCTGTTTATCTAATACAGGGTTCGTACACATTTCTGCACACAGAAATTAAGTACTTTTAAGGACCATTAATGAAAAAAATTAAGGACCTATGAGCAAATGGGAACTGAATAAATTCAATTAAAAATATCTATGCCTGAATTTCACTTTTGTAATACCATCCTAAAAATAAAAATAGATCCCTAAGTAGTATGCATTATTACTAAACATGAATTAACATAATTATTAATGAGTTTGAGAATAAAATAAACTTTATGCAATTTATCAAATAGCATTAAATATTTTACACTTATAATAGTTGGACATATTTTAAAGAAGATAAGTGACACTTACGTTTTACTAACAGTTAGCTTCCCGTTAAATTTTTTTTATGCCTCATTTTGTCACATACTTGGTCAGTCTACTTGGTTTCGTAAATAGCAGGGTAGATTTTGTCAAACGGCATAAGTTAAAATAAGAAGATCGATCAGAATCAGCATAATTCATAACAAAAGACTGAATGTTGTCACCGATGCTGCTAATCTAGAAAGAGACCTGCTGATTTGACCAAACCTGAAAGACCTGATGTACGCATGGTTGGCAAGTGTTGAAAGTCAGTCAGGCACTTTTTGATGCAGTTAGTGTCGTAGCTTCGCGTAGCATTCCAAGGGTTGTAACCCAGTTAATATACTTTAAGGTTCCAATAAGCCATTAAAGCACATGAGGTGATAAGTAGTTTTGTATTATTTTAAGTCTCACTAGATGCAAAGAATATGTTTTATTTGAATTTTTACATTTTTGTATTTTATCTTACAACCACAGTGGATTGGATTACTTATGGCAAAGCACACGAGGGCTATCTGCCTAAAGGAAGGGATGCCTTCATGGAGGACTTTCTAAGGGCAACTTGCTTGTATACACGTTACACATGGGGAAAACCATGAAAACGCCCATGCAGCCAGCCCGTTCGTGAGATTCGAACCTCGGACTGAAATACCAGTGTTCAGTGTCTTTATCACTCGGCTGCTGGTGGGCCTGACCACAGTGAGTATTAATGAAAGGCAATAACTCGCTTTAATATATAGAGAAAATTTTTAAGTGTAAACAATTAGTTATCAATAATTAAATTAGGTAGGTTAATAATTTTAGTCATTATAGATCTACATGGCCACTATTAAATTTTATTTTTTAATAATATTTGTTAAAAAAGCCCATCAAAATCTAATAAAATTTCACAGTTTAAAATGCATGTAATTATTATACTCCTCCAAAATGCTATTCACACTCAAATTGGCAGTCGTAAAAAAAGACAGAAATTTCAGATGATTAAAATTAAGGACCTTCTACTGATTTTGGCCAACATTAAGGACTTTTAAAGACTCTTAAGGACCGTACGAACCCTGTAATACTTGGAAAGGCTTCAACATAAGCATATGTTATATTTGCTCCACAGTAATGTTCTGCTCAATGAAAAAAAAAAAAAAAAAAAAAAAGGGGGCTGATCAACTGATTCTTCATCTCACAAAATTCACCCCATTCCGAATTCACCAAACCAAATATAAACTGTGGCTTGAAAAAAAGAAGAGTCCCCAAAAAGTCCCTCACATATTTTAAGACATTTGCATTTATTCAGTTCAACTTCAAAATGCTCAGAATTGAGTTCCATAAATTTTCAAGATTAAAACTAATCACGGAAGTTACCACTGCAATAGAATTATTACTTTAATCATAACAAACTAAATATTCTACGCAGAAACCCATTAAAAAAGATCAGAGTTTTTCAACACAGAGATAGACAGATATACATTCAGACAGATCAGATAGACAGATCAGAGTTTTACAACACAGAGATAGACAGAAATAGACAGATATGTAATTTCTTACAAAGATAGAACACTATATGGACGCATATCAGTCTTTTGTGGTGTGGAAATAAAAAATCTTAACAGAATGCGAAAAGGATTTTATTTGCTTCAAAATTTATCTGGTTGATAATATGTTAATATCTGAGACTCAGTGCACCTTTTCTTTAAAGTAAAATATTAACTATTATGTAAAAGCAACATGAGTTTATTATTCTGAATTGGAACTAGGATGTTTACAGGAACTTGTTAACATGAAAGCCAATTTTGATATTTTCAAATAAATCAGATAAAAAAAATTAAAACAAAAATTTACCCTATTTTCACAGGAACATTCATCTCACTGGAATTATAAGTACACCGTGCCGCCTACAAAGGAAGAAAAAAGTTTTTTTTTTCACCATTTAATTATGAAACAATAAAACTTTTCTCTGAAAAAAATTAATACAAGCACAATTATCCTTTTCCTAGGGGCAGGGACACATATGTCAAGCACATTCACTACTTTAAATGTGTCTCCAAGAAATTTCAATACAATATGGTGATTTAAAATTTATTCCTTAATATGTAGTAGGAAGTGTAAGACACTACTGATTTGTTTGTTTGCTCCTTGCCTTTAAAATGGATGAATAAAAGGCCCTAATACATACAAAATTGGTCCCTATAGCCCATGGGAAATGGTTATGCTAATATTAAATGGTATTTATTTTAAATCTATTTTTTATTAATTAATGAAACTATAACTTACTAAAATGTCATTATTGGTGATTGTATGTTTCCTCTGCATTGGATAAAAAGCCTAAAAAAGATTTTGCCAAATGTAATATAAACTTCTGATATACACTTCATAAAAATAAAAATTTATTAATATTAGTAAACTGGTAAAATATACACACAATTGCTAAACAATTTACTAGTTTCAGTTAGATTATAATTAGATGACTATATTCATATGAAACTATTCTACTATTTATGACGTGAATAAAAAGGGAAAAGGTTTAAACATACTAAAATTCACAGGGGGGGGACTGAAAATCACAAATAACTATTATATTTCCTTCCTCTTTTGAGTTTAAAAACTCAGAATCTTTATTTTTATCTTACACAGACGTTTTAAATACTTGCTATGATAAAAGCTACTGATTTCTATAAAAGATTTCATTATAAACTATGAGAAAATGAAAGCGTTAATCCAATCAATTTTATTCTATTAGGCCAATTGCCTTAAGCAACAATAATCAACTAGTTACCAAATGAATTCTTTCCTTTATCTTTTATAGGTTCTAGATCAGACAAACTTTCTATGTTCTATCATTAAAAAAAAAAAAAAAAAAAAAAAAAAAAAAAAAAGAGGCTTATGTTTTTGCCTCAGCATGCATTTTTTCACTCGATTAAATTTAAAAAAATTTACATTTTTTCAGTATAAGCACTAACATAGTCTAACTATTAGATTTTGTGATATCTGCTTTCCTTTTGTTCAATCTATAGATGACCGAGAGGATTCCTTGAGATAAATGCACTTAATAAACTTAACTATAATTTTATTAAAAGATGACAGAAAAATCAAATTCGAACCTAGTTTGTTTAGGGCTCAATATTATATATTCCAAGTAAGTTCATAAACACACAGAATAAAACTGAAATTTTTTATCACTGCAAAAATAATCATTGTTACTTAAAATAATTAAAAAAATACATTATAAAAAATTATTTCTGAGTGAACTAATATAAAACATCTAGAAAAATCAGAGGAAAAAACTATTATTATTTTTAAAAAAACATACCTGCGGCCATTGAGGATTTCCTTTGGCAAGAAATATCCAACTGTTATTTACAGTGTTATAGTAATAACCGGATACGACCACTCCAAGTTTATGTGTGTGCACTCGATATGCAAAAGGGTGAATAACATAGTTCTCATCAAATTTGCAGTTTACATCAATGTGATATTCTGAAAAGTTACAGATTTAAGTTTACCCATACATTTATGCACATAAATTAAATTTGAGAAAATTTTAATTAAATGTACTAATTTATTGGCTGAATTAAAGCCATTGAAACTACACAACGATTATAACTAGCTAGCTGCCTAGAGTGAAGATATTTCATGATGAAGTATTCTGTGCCTATAAAACATAATACTATACTTGCAGTAGTTACCATTATGAAATATCACACCAGATTCTTCATAAATTTTATTTTCATCTTGAAATTAATCCTTTACATCAGTCTTCTGCAATGATCTCAACATTAACTTCCATGCACGAGGGTGTGTATACAGTATACTTGACTCAACCCTTAATACCACTTTTTCTCAAATTATTACTACCTGAAATATGCTTTGTAGAATATATCTACATAAAATTCATTTTTTATATTCCATATTATCCACAAATATCAATACAAATATGAAATTCTTTAAATTATAGCATTTAGTGCAAATCGTTGAGAGACTTTTTTGATTACAGAATTCAGCCAGAAAAATGAAGATCAGAGTAAATCTGGAAAAAAACTAAATATATGCAACCGTGGCAAAAAGGAAAATCCACATAAAATATTTGAGACTATCCCATTTAAATTTGAATTTGTGAAAAATTTAACCTGTGTGGGCTCCGAAATTAACTACCAAAATGATACTAATCCTGAAATCAGAAAAAGGATTACTGCTTCAAATCATTGCTTCTTTGGTTTAGGACCTTCTGAAACTACCTTCTTTGGTTTAGGATCTTCTTTAGGAATCTTTGAAAGGAAGATTCTAAGAATCCGTTTGGTGCTGTTTTCGAGAATAATACATGGTGTAACTTCAAACTCTACACTCAATTTCGAATAACTTCGAACTCTACAAAATTTATAAAGATGAGGATATTATTAAATCCATTAAATTAAGTAGAATGAGATGGACAGGTCGCCTTCTGAGATTAAATGCAGGTCCTTATGGTCTTTAATGCAACTCCTGTTTGTGAAAGATCAAGAGGAAGTCCTAAAGATGGACGGACTGCCTGGATGAGGATTTTGCCTTTCTAAAAATTAAGAACTGGAGGTCAGTTTCTAGAAGAAGGGTGGAATGCGAAAGGCTTCTGAAGAAGTCCAGGGCCCATAAGAAGCTGTCATGCCAATGTTGATGATGAAATGCAAATTATTATATTAAAATGCGAACAAAATTTAATTAGATGATAATTTTATTATTTTTTGCATTAAAATACAATTATTACATAATACTTATTAGATTACTAAATATTTTTGTTTTACCCTATATTAATAATTTAGTACTTATATATCTTCTAAAGTAATTTTATAATATTTTCATTAAACTTAACATTAAATTCTATAAAATTTATAATGCAAAAATTATCAAGATTAATCAGAAAAAAAAATAATTAATGTATTATAAAACTTATTCATATAATATAAAATGTTATCAATTATCTGTTTCCTGATAATTATTAAGATTAATCAGAAAAAAAAATTTAATTAATGTATTATAAAAACTTATTCATATAATATAAAATGTTATCAATTATCTGTTTCCTGATAATTATTAAGATTAATCAGAAAAAATAAATTTAATTAATGTATTATAAAAACTTATTCATATAATATAAAATGTTATCAATTATGTTTTTATTTTTAGAAAATTTTTATTTTATTTTTAGAAAGCAAAAACTGAAGATGAGAAAATTCAATAAAACATTCTGCACATGATTTCAAGAAATTTAAACTTACATAAAGATGAACATGGAGTAAACCTAACCCCAAAATAATATATAAGTAATTATTTAGCAAATTATCAGATGCTGATACATTTTAGAATAACGGATACACTCTGAGAAATAAAATAACAATACATTCTGAGAAAGTAAGTTATTTTCCTATCGACAAATTATGTAAAGAAACTGATACAACTAATTTCCATATAATACAATGATGCAATATTCCTTCATTAATTACGTCAAGAATTTTATTGCTGATCACACTATTTTTAGGTGGGTTACGAATTTTCCAACTAATCATTAAAAAATCTTTTTTGTATTTGCTTTAATTTTTTTTTTTAAATCATCCACATACTTTTTATATGAGATGAATGTGACAAGAACAAGTATTTTAAGTAAGTATTTGACACATATGAACTTGCACAAAAAATTACATTCTTATTATCAAACTGCAGTAAATTTATATTAATATTTCATATATATTTTGATTTATGTTTCTTAAACTAAACAGAAGTGATTCTAAGATTGTCATTTTCTCAAGAGAGTCAACAAAACTCATGCAAGGAAAAATTTTCTTAAGTATACGATTGAAAGTATGAAAAAATGTATACCATGAAACGTATACGATTAGGAATGAACTGAGTTCTCTGAAACCAATGATTTCAAAATACAAAAAAAAGAAATTCATTAATCTTCTGAGTACAATCCCCTCATCTTCACATCACTTAATTAAATACAGACAATACCTTCTGCAATAAAAAGACTGTTTTAGCACTGTATTCAAAATGAAAGTCTGAAACCCTGTTTCAAAGAATACAGCAATGTACCAACAACTAAAAGTATACAGAGAAAAAAATTGTTAAAAATTATCATGAAAGTTAAAAAATCATGAGCATAATGCTATTTATATCTTTTATAAAACATTAAGACATGCTGCATTTTTATATATACTTTTTACTAGTGGTATATATATATCATTTAAGTTGAAAATATATTAAAAAATGAAAAATAAAGAATTCAGAAAACTGCATTATTATTAATGTAGCTAGAGATGTTTCTGAATTTATTTTAAATATTATATTAAAGCCACCAAGAAAGAATGTAACCAGTTTTTAATACTAAACTACCATATCAATATTATGCAAGATAAGTGGATCTTTGTTACTGCCTCCTTATATCTGATTATAATGGGAGGAATTTTCATTATTCATCATGACAGAATCATTGAGATAGAAAGATTAATGAAACTTCCTCACATTACACTTTTATTATGAGAAAAGTATGGATGTTTTACTGCCGATAGATTATAACGTGAAATTCATTTGTTAATACACAAAAATTAACAAAAGTACTCATGTACAAGAACTAGCAATTATTCCTTGATTTCAAATTAGCTGTGATAAGATTATTTGAGAAATACTCATGTCCAAGAGTAGAAAAGTTAAAAGTTTGCAGAAAATGGTGGTAGGAATTTCTATTTGAAATGTAAAAATAAACCACCTAACTTCCATCAAAACATACCACTTGCTCCAGCATTACTGATATTCCTGGAAGCATTGGCAGAATGCCTTTTTGTTAGTTTTCAGACTGAATGTAATGTCTTTTGTGAGGACTTAAAATTATCTAAAAATGTTATTCCTGCAGAATTATCTTGATAAGATACAACAGTAGGTTCATAGGGTGTGAAATCTGTCAATAAAGTGATTGTGGCATTTCTTAACGTTAATAAATAAATAATAATAAAAAAAAATAAATAAATAAATAAAAAAAAAAAAAAAAAAAGTGAAAAATCGAAGGTTTCTTTAACCTTGTTTACGCTACACTACTGACTATACTCTTCAAATAATGTCACTTCATACATCTCTTCCACTAAGAGCATCTAAATACCTTCTAACAGCTATATTTAATTATAGAAAGTTTTATGCACATGGTGGAATTTTTTTGAGAACATTAAAAAAAAGAGAGAGAGAGAGAGTATTTTTTTAATATATGCTCATGCATCACACAGCATCATCTCTATGTATTCATATAGAAGATATTTTGCCTGCCATATTCTAAGCAATCATACACACCCCATAACTTTGAAATCTCGCATTTTATGCAGAGTTGAAGGCAAGATGAAAATGGCAAGAAATTACATAAAAATTTTTGAGATCATTGTTCAAAAATATTCATTTTCAAAAATGAATGAAACAAAACAATAAGTAAAAACTTAAAAAATAATATTACATACTTGGTTTATGTGGAGGTATGCGAGCATTATCACCCAGCAATAAACGTATGCCAGTAATGTATCGCTGCCTATAAAAAGTAGGAAATTATAAATTTCATACATGAAAAATATACTGAGGATATTTTTAAAATATGCAGAGTACACATAATATATTGACCTAGTTACAAAAAATTTCTACAATATACTAATATGCTTATTTTTAGAATTAGTAGAAATTTCTAATCATCTTGATTCCATGCACTTAAATACTATCCTACATGATGCCATAAAATATGGTATCACCTCCTCCAAAAAAGTGACTATTATTTTAACCTTCAAGATTAAGTACTAGAAGCTTGGTATTTTATAATCATAACCAGAAAAGACTTTCATTTTTTGAGAATTCTAAATCAGCTCCAGATATTTAAATACATTGATAGAATCAAGTTCTGCCTAATGTTTGGAGGAAAAACCCATAAAACAAGTTATTAAAACCCATAAAACACAGCCATTTGTTAATGAATACAAATAACAACAATTTTTCCCAGTATCACCATTTTACCTGATTAAAAGACGGAACTGAATTTTTTTTTGTTGTATGACAAAAACAAAATCCACAATTCTTAATTGTTTATAATATATATACATATATACAATCAAGAGATAATAATTAAATCATGTAGAAGAGAGAACTTTTCATCAGGAAATATTCAAATCAATATTGAAACAAAAACAATTCAATAAAATTAATAAAACATAATAAATTGAAATAAATGAAAAATCCTTAGTCCTTTTCAAAGAGCAGCCAAAGAATTTTCAACAAAGCCACATTTCTAAATTAAATCTAGATGACCAAATTCTTAAAATATTTAAAAATAAAAAGCTGATGAGTACACCACGACTTCCTTGTACAGAATAGTAAATTACACACAGTTTTCCTGCATTTCACTTTAACGTATTTCCCTGAATTTCATTAGATGCATATTTCTCATTCAATTAATTCAGCTCTCGCTTTGCAACAAGGCAAAAATACATAAAAATGCAAAATATCTATATTAAAATTTGAAAGATATCGAAAAACATAAAACACCAAATATAGTTAAAACAATTAAAAAAAAAACAATTTTTACAATTAAAATTACAAAGTCTATGAAAAAACAAGTAATTTGGCTAGCAGGCAGATATTTCAGTGCACAAAACTGAAAGTTTACTTTTGGTCTCAGTCTGCAAGGAGACACTGAAGGTGTAGAAACAGACTTAATCTGTTGCAGATGCTATGCCGAGTCAATATATGAGATAATTTAATAACTTAAATGATAATTCCAGAATGAATTAAGCATGATTTAATTTGCAATAGTAAAAGAAGATGCTAATTTGTTGTTGCAAAGCATAGTTTCTCTTTGTCTCTTGATTTTTTTATCTCTTGATTGTAATAACTTGTTAGACTGGCATCAAATTCACTATTCTGCTAAGTTTGAAACGTAAACAAATATGGCTGCTATGGTAAAAGAATTAGGCCTAGCTGCACTTTAACAACTTTTAAATTGTTGATAATTCTACAACTATAAAATGAAGGTTAACTAAAGTCGCAAAAACCTTAACCAGAAGATAAGAACAACATAATTCAAGCAAAAGACGCACAAGTACCAATATATAAGAATAAAAAACTTGTAGTATATTGAGAACTATCGATGTGTGTATCATAATCGGACTTTAAGCTGGCACAGTGCCAAGCATTGGAGCGTGTGGAGTAATTAGAAAAAGGACTGGAATGCGAGTAGCTGTAATTAGGAAGTACTTGTAAGTGTGTATATGAGTGATGATATATTTTGTATGTATAATAAAAGTAGCATGTAGTTTAAAAGAGTGTATCTTGTGAAATAATTATCCACTAAAGGATACAGGACAGCTGGCGACGAGGATGTGCAATTTAAAAAAAATGTGCCTAATGCAATCTCAATAAGTATTTAGGGGATTCCCCGAAGACGGCTCAAAAGCTTTTATAATCATTTTTTCTTTCGGAAGATCATGGAGCAGCTCGTAACTGAGTTAATAGTGCAGACTAAAGCTCTAATGGAGAGACTTACTTCTGTTATTACTCCACAAATGGACAATTCGAAACATTCGGTTCAGTTTGAAAAATATAATGAACACGAAGAACAGTTTGATTCATTTCTAAAGAGATTCAAAAGTTATTTAGATATACAAAATGTTTCACAGGACAAGCGTGGGAAAGTACTGATTTCTAGTTTGTCCAGAAAAATGTATAGTCTCTTAAAAAACTTGCTGGCTCCTGATAATCGTTCCGATAAAGATTATGAAGTGTTAAAAACAACATGAAGAAATCATTTAAATCCTAAGCCACTTATAATTAATTCCTAGCAGGCATGTATTTTTAAATCGAAAGCAGCACAAGGGGGAAACAATTAGTGTGTATATGGCAGAGTTAAGGTCACTTGCCATACCGTGTGCTTACAATCAGAATATGTTAAATACAATGCTGTGGGATGTATTTGTTAGTAGGCTTAGAGATAGGGCTATTCTGGATAGAATTTTTGAGTAGGATAATATCAATTTAGATGACACTTTAAAAATAGCTTTGGCAATGGAAAAAGCATTAAAAGGTGCAAATGAAATAATTGGGAAACCAGTGGAAATTAAAGGATTTAGTGCTAGGAATAAAGGTAAATCTAAGCCAGTCGCTCCAAAACAAAAGTTTGAAAAACAAAACATCGCAGCTAAGAATGCTAAAGGAAAAAATGTGTTCGCGATGTACGGGGACTGATCATGATAGAAATTCTTGTAAATTTAAGACAAGTATCTGCAGATTTTGTAAGAAAATCAGGCACATTGAAAGGGCATGCTACAACGCTGAAAGAATGAAAGCGGAACAAAAACAATTAGATGTAGGAAATGAAAACACAGTTCCTATAAATAGCACACATTCCAGTGAGGTGAAAAATAGGAAACCACCCATAATGGTCCAAGTGATCATAGAAGGAAAACTGGTAGCTATGGAACTGGATACAGGGAGTGCAGTATCAATAATGAGTTAAAAAAATTTCCGGCAAATTTCGAAAAAAAAAATTAAAAATACAAGTCTGGTATTTAAAACATATAATGGAGAAAAACTGATACCTTTACGATTTACTACAGTTAAGGTAGAATATAAAGGTCAAAATAAAAACTTAAATCTTTAAATTGTTAAAGAAAACCTTGACACAATATTTGGTAGAGAATGGCTTTTAGAAATGAATTTAGATTGGTCCTCAATAAAGTCAATTTCTGTCTCTCAAAAGAGTAGTTTAAATAAATTATTGGAACAATAAAGAGATTTTTGACGGAAAATTAGGAGAAATAAAAAAATTATGAGGTTCATCTTGAACTGAAACCAAATGTTTCACCAAAATTTTGTAGAGCTAGGCAAGTACTATTTGCGTTAAAGGGCCAGATAGTTGAAGAAATTGATCGCTTGGAAAAAGAGGGTATAATCGAAAAGGTTGAAACGTCGGAATGGGCAACTCCAGTAGCACCAGATAGTTAAGCCGGACGGCTCTATACGACCGTGTGCTGACTACTTGGTGACAGTAAATGCAAATATTGTTACACATTAACACCCTTTGCCGATCATAGAGGAAATATTTTCATGTTTGAGCGGGGTAAAGCATTTTTCAAAAATTGATTTTAAACATGCTTATTTACAAATAAAATACACACTAAGACTCAAAAATTGCTAACAATAAACACACGGAAAGGATTATATAAGTGTAAGAGATTAATGTTCGGGCTAAATGCAGCGCCGGCAATCTGGCAACGTTACGTAGACGGACTGACTATTCCACGGAATAGAAGGGTGTAAGGATGTATGTATGTATGGATGATAATATCCACACATACATACTTGTATGGATGATGCGCGGATAACAGGGGCGGATGATGAGACGCATGCATTTAAATACTTTAAAAAATTTCCTCGAGAAATGTAAAACTCGTGGACTGAAATTAAATTTAGAGAAAAGTAAATTTTTTCAGGATGAGATCAAATTTTTAGGTCATAAAATTGATGCTAATGGTTTACATAAAACTGATGAAAAAATATCAGCAACTTGCAAAAGCCCCAAGACCCAGAAATGTCCAGGAAATTCAAAGCTTTTTGGGATTGGTTAATTTTTAAGGAAAATTTTGCCCTAAATTAGCGACAATCGCAAATCCCTTATATCAATTAACTAAGAAAAACTCAAAATGGGTTTGGACGAAGGATTGTCCGGAGGCTTTTCTAAACATTAAAAAAGAATTGTGTTCACAAAAAGTTTTGATGCATTATGATCCAAAATTGCCCTTAACATTGGCAACTGATGCATCACCAGTAGGATTAGGTGCGGTACTTTCTCACAAACTCCTGATGGAATGGAAAGGCCAATTGCATATGCTTCAAGAACACTGACTGAAACAGAGAAGAAATATTCTCAAAACAATAAAGAAGCTTAATGAATCATTTGGGGAATAAAAAATATTTTTCTATACTTAAAAGGCAGAAAATTTACATTGATGACAGATCATAAACCTCTTGTTGCAATTTTCGGCTCAAAGAAAGGCATGCTAGTTTTGGCAGCAACAGGACTCTTACATTACACTTTGGCTTTACAGTCATTCCAATTCGATATTACTTACCGTAAAACAAACAAGCATGGTAATGCTGACTTTCCATCACGATTACCCACGAATTCAGAGCAACTGTCTGTTCAGGATGATGTAACTATTTTTCAATTACAGCAGATTGAAACTCTTCCAATCACGGCCAGAGATTTGGCTAAAGAAACTGAAATTGATGCAGAACTCAGTCCTCTGCTACGAATACTACAAAGCGGCGGAGAATTGAAAGGAAGGGAGATGGAGGTACAGTCTCCAAGATGGCTGTATAATGTATGGTAAACGCATTTATATTCCAAAATGATACCGTGATAATGTTTTGAAAGAGTTGCATCACGGACACTTAGGTACTGTAAAGATGAAAGCAATTGCTAGATCTTATGTATTTTGGAATGGCATAGATAAAGATATCGAAAATACTTCCAAAAACTGTTCTGAA